AAGCCTACAGAGTACCATTTGAGAGAAATTCTGAGAGGGTAAAAGAGCTACGATATCAATATGTACAAGTAAGTAATACGTAATGTCCAGAGATTATACAGCACTATTGAGTTACTGTACATCTTTACTGTGTTGAATGTAATGCAGCACATGTATACAGAGTCATGAAGCCTGGAATGCTATGTCATTTACGTAATATCAAAAATGAACCTTTTTTCATTTCTATAGAGAATGTTTCAACTGGATTCCATGGAGAAGCCTCATGAGTGCATCTTCTTGGATGAAGCTGGCTTCAATCTCACCAAGAGGAGAAGGAGAGGCCGCAACATTATTGGTCAACGACCCATTGTAGAGTTGCCAGGGCAGCGTGATGGCAACGTGACCATATGTGCTGCATTCAGCAGCTATGGGGTTATTCACCGCCATGTGACTTTAGGACCTTACAACACTGCCCATCTTATAACATTTCTGTATGCACTACAGGAAGCATTACTGAGACGTGAAGAGAGGGGTGATGAGCAGGCAGAGCATCCCATGTACGTGGTAATCTGGGACAATGTGAACTTTCACCGTGGTCCTAGAATACGTGAGTGGTTTGAATATAACCCATGTTTTATAAATGTGTGCCTCCCACTATACTCGCCCTTCCTTAATCCCATTGAAGATTTTTTTTTTCTACATGGAAGTGGAAGGTCTATGACAGAACACCTTATGCACAGGAAAATCTCCTTCAGTCAATGGATGCAGCATGTGACAACATTGGAGTGGAATCGATTCAAGGTTGGATTCGTCATGCTAAAGGATTCTTTCCCCGTTGTTTAGCAAGGGAGAGGATTGCCTGTGACGTTGATGAGGTCCTGTGGCCTAACCATGCCCAGAGGCATGATGCTGAGGCAGAATGATTCCAAGACATTGCTATCGATCTGCTGCATATTTTGTTTGTGACTTTATTTGTGTGCAGGATTGTGCAAGTACTTCATAATAAATACATTTTTTCCCCTGCTCTGCTTTGAGTGCACTGTTTTGCATGTATCTCTGTAGTGTGTAATGACTGCTGCGTAGTGTTTATGCATTAGCTGGATGTGTGTGATATCTGAAAACAGTGTTTGGTTTTGGGTAAAGATAACATAGTTCTGAAGCAATTGTTTGATATAGCAAGACAAGTCAAAGGTTTTGACAGTGTAGCTTAAGTTTGGTGATTTGTGTTTAAGGTTTTGGGAAAGAGAAATTTTCCAAAAATGTGTTTCGAATTCTACTCCATACCGGATGGTGGCGGTAACGTGCGACTCACGTTCTTTTTATTTTTGTTTTGCCAAGCTCCAATTAACACCAGAAGAAGAAGACGGACATTTCGTTTCCGGGTTAAGATTTTCTCTCAGACTTTTGTATCTGAACAAGAGAAAACAATCCTGCAGCGTTAACCATAACATTTGTTTTTTCATTCTAAGAAAATAAGTCATTTATGGACTCATCTAGCCTCAAGGGGAAATATATGTCTTTACTTTTGCGTTGGATAAATTAAAAGCAATGATCAGCTAACTCCTTAATGATGCTCAGCGGGATTTTACCCGACAAACCAACCCATGCTCACACCGAAAAGGTATGAAACACCGCCATGAGTTCCAGCATGTAGGAGCAAGTTCTGCTGCTGGTTACCCTGCCCCCATACTGTCTCAGTATTGTTGTTATTCTCTCACAGCTGCTCCCCCCATGGAAGCATCAAAGTATTGTTTATGACTTTATCATAAAATCAGCTTTACCACATTTTGATTCCAGATATCTTGAATCATTCTTTATTAACTAGGGATATCTGCATTTATATATAGACTAGACAATATTTCAATATCTCTAATTAAATTGTGACTACATTTCTGGACTGAGATCTCTGTTTCTTTGCGTTTCCTACAGCCACCGTGCCCGGTCCGAATGCACCATTAGACCTACAATAATACGTTTTTTTTTTTGTTTTTTTTTGTTTTTTTGTATACCTTTCTAGAACTGGTGTGTTGAAAATGGAGGAGCCTCTAGCTCACCAGCAGCTCTGCAAACAAGAGAATAACTTCTGTTTGGACCAGATGAAAGCAGAGCCCCTGCAGATTAAAGAAGAGCAGGAGGAGTTTGAACTTTCACTACTTAAAGAGCAGCAGGAGGAGTTTGAACCTTCTCAAGTAAAAAAGGAGGAAGAAGAAGAAGAAGCCCATGTTAGTCGGGATAAAGACAATATTTTGCTTAAGTGGAATACTTATAGCTTTGAGGTTTCACCTGTTAATGAAGAAAAATACCACCTTGAACCTGAACCAGATGGAGACCAACTGGATCCTCAGGAGGCTGCTGGAGCTGAGAACCAGGATGGGGAAGGAAACCATCAAGAAGACACAGGATTGAGGTCCGATAAAGAGCTAGAACAAAGTAAGACATGATTTTGGTTGCAAGAGCAGACAGGAGAAAAAACAAAGATGAGGTATAATAATATAACAATATAACAGATGTTGAAAATGTGCCATTTAAAAAAGTCACATTTGATTTGAAATTTCATGAGTTATTGAGATAATCCATTGAGACTTTGTTCAATCATTTTATTTAACCTTCTACATGTTCTTTCAAACTCACATTTCCACTAATATTGACTGAAGCACCTTTCAAACGTTCCTCAGATTAGAGGGTTGTTACTGCCAACTAGTGACTGCAATGTGAACTACACTATGTTCACCAAAGGTAATTGTCTAGTGGATTATTCTAATTTATGTTACTGAATTTAGCAAATTGTCACACTACAAAAGGAAGTTGCGTTCAGAAAAAAATGCCCCTTTGTTTATATTCTGCCAGGGGTTTCGTTTTTTACAACATAAAGAGGATAGTTAGGCTGCTAGTGAGAAATATTGTATAAAAGTGTAACTTTGCATCCCTGTAGATACACTTTAATTAGATTAAACTATTCACAGTTGGAGTCAAATAACTACAAAACAGTTTTTAAAATCCATGACTTTTTTTTCATATCAATAACATCAGATCAGACGAAACTTTTTTTATGTCTGTTGACTGGTTGCTCTTCTACTTGTTTAGAGCCTGAGTAAAGGAAATGGAGAGGGGTTAGATCATTAAAAGCATATTCTTCTGCCCACTCCTTATCAGATGAGAAGTGGATAAAATAACTGCGGGTTTTTACATTTTTTATTATTTGTATTTTGTATTAAGTTGTCCCTCTAGATGAAAATATTGTGTGTTTTGTTTAACTGTCCTTAAAAAAAGGAACATCTTTATAGAAAATGACCTTCCTCAGATTCAGAGGTTTAGCTTCACTGTGAATGAGATGATGAGGTTGTAGAGTTGAGTGAGTTGAATGAAGGCCTGAATGATTTGGCAAAAAATCTTAACTTTTATTTTTTTCAAGTAATATTGCAATTTTTTTTTAATCTTCCTTTGCACTACCACAAGCTTTTATAATTTTCTAAACTAGACTTTCCCTTTTTCAAAGCTTACTTTCAAGGAGTCTATGGTTGTAGGACTTTACTCTAACTTTGTGTGGAGAAATGCTTATATTCTAGTTGCATGCATGAGTCTGTGTGCTAGCTATAACTCTCTCTACCTTTCTGTGTGGACAAATCCACTTTAAGTCTTTTACTGACACTTAAAGGGCTGGAGAGATAAATTCCAGCAAACTGTTGAGAAAACCTTCTGAAATTATACACATTACATTTAAGCTAAGTTTAAAAAGTAAGCCTACCACATACTAAGAATGCAAATGTAAAATTCTAACTGTGAAGAAAGTAAAAAAAAAATAAAAAAAAAGATCTCATTCGTAATTATGGCATTAAGTAAAGAAGTTATTTTGTATTTATGACCACCTTAAAACAGGAGAACTTAAGCTTGGTTTTTATGTCAATGAAGGAACACAGAAAAGGTTGTTTCTATTATAAAGTTTGTGTAAAATTTCCCCTTTAATTTTGCCATTTTATGAGCTGGATGATATTTGTGCTATTGGTCACATTTTAATCAGCGGTTTTCTGTGTCGATTAGACGTGTTCTCCTCTGGCGAAGATCATCCCTCTTCATTCAGAAGACAAACATCTAAACATGGATGCAATGAGACGCAGGTGAGAAAATTCTCAAACTGTAAATTGCTTGAAATAAAAACATTGCCATCATGCAAATATATAAACCAGGAGTTATGTCTGGATACAAAGCTATGCAGAAAAGGAAATACAAATCTGTTGCTCTGTTAAAATATGTAAATATACAATACAATAAAAAGTTAAAGGTATAGTGGAGGATGTTCTTTTTCCGGGAGCATTATCAAAATAATTGTAATTGTTAATCATTCTGGTGATATGTTTATGTAAGGCCGTCCTACGTGCTCGTCCTGTTACCTATAATTTTCTGCTTATGTGCACTTTCAGCTGCATATCTGTGAGGAGCTACGTCATTGAAGCTCACTTTTCTAACTGCGGTTCTTTGAAAATGGCAGAGGGTCGTAAGAGAAAAAATGTCTACGAAGTGTATGAGAAGAAGAAGGGCCTCAGAAGAGTCAGATATATCCCAGAATGCTTTGTGCGAAGAGCTCTCCTCACAAAGTATTATGGGATTTTCTGTCACAGCGTCCCACTGCTGCCCATGGCTGTCGCTACCCGACAGCGGCGACTAATAACTAATATGGCGCAGGCACCGTGCGGGGAGGTGGAGTTACGTGACCAATGGGGAGCAAAAAGTAGATCAACTGCACAAAGATCATCTGCCCGAACAGTCAATTAAACTATTTCAATATATAGTCCCCGCTCTGTATAGAGATTGAGGGATTTAAGCGGACGTTCGGACACAGTAAGCATGTATAAGCTATGAGAACAGCAACTTCTAAACAGAGCGTGCACAAGGAGAAATGTGCATGCTCTCGCATGCATTTATTAGGCGTTCCCTCTCAGGAGCGGGTACAGGGTTGTGCGTGTGCATTTTTTCTTTAAATGGGAGGGGTCTTTTAAAAAAATGTGTGAAAATCTTCCACTATACCTTTAAATGCAGATATGTACCCTTGATTTAAAAGTAGAAACTAATAGATTCATGTTTCCTGCAGGGCGATAGCCTTCGAATCAGAATCCCACCGGCTGAGAGCGATGACAGCTGTCTAAGTGACAGCGATGACAGTGATGAGGACAGCAGATTTAAACCAGGTTATGAAAGCAGTAGTGATGAAGACTCTGACAGCACCAGCACTGCCAGTGCAAGCTTTCACTCAGGATCCTCTAAAACAAGAAGTTGGCGAAGGTTAGCTTGGGAGACCGTGCAACCACTGAACTCAGCTAAAGACGTTCCAATCTGGGGAGGCTCTCTTCATGGTGCTGATGAAACCAGAGAGCCCATACAGTATTTCCGGGACTTTTTCGATGCCAATCTTTTGAATACCATCGTCCAACAAAGTAATCTTTACTTCACACAAGAAATCAAAAATAATCTCTACAGCGGCCTAAAGCTGGATCTAAATGAACTGGAGCAGTTCATCGGCACTCTAGTGTACATGAGTGTCGTAAATCTACCAGCGTCAAAAATGTACTGGGCCAGTGAATGTCGAGTAGAGCAGGTGGCTGATGTGATGAGCCGAGAGAGATGGAAAAAAATTAAAGAATTCATCCATTTCAATGATAATAGCAGAACGGCTGCAGGCAGTGGGGATGTTCTCTACAAGATTAGGCCTGTTATTGATTCACTTCTCCAAAAGTTTCACAGTCTGCCTCAAGATCAAAAGTTATCTGTTGCTCAGCATATATTGCCTTTTAAAGGTACGTCTGGTCTATTGCAGTATACCCCAAAAAGGTCACGCAAATGGGGATACAAAATCTTTGTACTGTGTGATACGAAGGGCCTGGTGCATTCTTTCCACGTATTTACTGGGAGAATAGACCCTGTACCAGGAGAACCAGACATCGGAGCAAGTGGAAACACTGCATTAAAGCTCACACAAGTTGTTCATCATTCTGTCAATCATCTTTTGTGTTTTGACAGCTGGTTTTCTTCCTTGGACTTGTTTTTAAATCTTGCAAACAAGGGGATACAAACCTTAGGGAGTGTGGAGGAAAGTAGCCTCCAAGGTTGCAGTTTCAGCTCCGACCTTGAGCTGAAGAAGAAGGGAATGGGGTCATTTGAAGAGAAAAGGGCTGCAGTTGACAATTTAGAAATTAGAGCAGTCAAATGGTTTGACTATAGAGGGGTGGTTGTTGCGAGCAGTTTTGCAAGTGCCCAGCCTGTGTCCAACATCCAAAAATGGGACAGAAAGTTGAAACAGAAGGTTGTTGTGGAATGCCCGAGCATCATCAGCCTATATAATGAGTTTACGGCTGGTGTTGATGCTCTCAATACACTGATTGCATCTCATCGCATCCGGATTAGGTCCAGAAAGTACTACCTAAGATTATTTTTTCATTTTGTCGACATGGTGATTGTAAACAGCTGGCTGTTATATCAGCGTGATTGCAAATCCTTAGATGTTCCAAGAAAGAAGCAGAAAGACTTTCTGGCTTTTAGAATTTCAATAGCACAAGCCCTCTGCATGCAAGGCAAGGATCTGTCTAGCAAGAAGAGGGGGTGGCCATTCCTGGATGTTGAAAGTGAGTTTGAAAGGAAGAAACGCAGAGGTCCCGCCAAGGCTATACCAGCCCAGAAAGTTCGTTCAGACGCTGTTGGCCACTGGCCCATGGTTGAAAGCGCAAGACAGCGCTGTAAACTTCCTAACTGTAGGGGGCAGACTGTGTTTAAATGTTCAAAGTGCAATGTGCATTTGTGCCTCAAGAAGAACAAGAACTGTTTTGGAGATTTTCACAAGTAATGCTGTTTTCTTCCAAACAAGGGGACACCGGTCCTAAACTGTGAAGCCAAATTACTTTCCTGTTTTTTTTTTGTTTTGTTTTTTAATGTAAAAATAAAACAGAAATGATTAAAAATGTTTGTTAAACTTCAAAGTTCTTCTCTGTAACAGCAGTGTAAATAAATCTATAGACACCTGGACCTTGTAAATTCATTTCTTCCTCTTTACCATAGGTGATCACTGACATTTATTTATCTCCAAATGAATATGCATCTCCCCCTGGGTGTAAACAAAAGTGGATATTGCGTTGTATTCATTTACCTGTTTCGCAGATATAATGCTGCTCTATCTAAGACTAAAGGTGTTTGGCTATTTACACTGGGCTTCCCAAATTAAAGAGGATTAACCACCTTATACATTTATTTCAGTTGGATTTCACTTAATATCCATTTAGGGGAGTGTTGGCCCAGTGGTTAGAGCAGTGCACTTGTGTTCTGAGAAAGTTGCAAGTAACCGGTTTTATCCCCTCTGCCTGCATTCTGGCTCCCTGAGCAAGACCCTTAACCCCAAGCTGCTCCCCGGGCGCTGCACAATGGCAGCCCACTGTTTCCCAAGGTGATGGGTCAGATGCAGAGGTCAATTTCTCCAATCGGAGATCAATAAAGTTCAATTATTATTATTTAACCTTTTTTCTTAAAAAGTAGTCTATATCATATTGCTACCAGGCATAGTTTTCAAAAACATCAACTACATCTGATTTTGAATGTTATGTTCAAATGTCTCTTTTTTATTATTTCTCAACTTGGCTTGAGAACATCGTTTCAGAATTAAATGTTGAAAATTCCTGATTTACACTAAAACCATCTTATTTTTCAGAGGAAAGTCCAACACTGGACAAGTTATTCATAGTGATGAGAAGTGATTTTGAATTTACCTTAATGAAGAAGTCTGGAAAAGTCAAGCTCACTTTCTTATCTAATCCAGATTACCCCTTCTCACAGCAAAAAATTTATCTAAGAACATTTTGTTCTTAAAATAAGTGAATTTTTTTCTTGAACTGACCAGATGGGACACTTTTCCAATGGAATAAAAATATTTAAAATATTTTATGTTCCAATAATTAGACATTAATACACATTAGATCTTAAAAAACTCAAAGAAATAAAGTATATTTTATAATGTAAATCTAAAAGTAAATGTCTCCCTATGTAAAAATAACCAAACTTAAACAGTTCAGGAGTGTTCTGAGTTTATTCTCAGTGTGGATCTCTTTGTTTCAAACTGATATTTCATGATTTTATTCAATCCTGTGTGCAGCAGCAGAGCAGTTTGAGAAGAGAATCACTGATATACCATTACAGTACAAATATTTACATTAAAAAAAACGACATTTTAATTACATGACACGTTACAAAATATCTCACTCAAACCCATTGGAGAAAATATTTGACAAGGATTTCAGAGATGTTCAACAGGTACTGGTATCCTCTTTGGTTTCAGGGAGTTTTAGGTAAAATTTACTGTTACAGTTTACTCAGAAGGAAAAACCGCTACTAGATACTGTTTGAACCAGCCAGAAAAACAAGAAAAACAAACTTAATATTGCTTGTTTACTGTTCATTTAGTTTTAAACCTTGACACACTGACAAAAGCAGTTTGGCAGTAAACATCTGAAGGCATTTTAGTAATTCTTAACACTTTCAGCATCGTCATCGTGGAGCCTTCCAGGATCGAACCAAGCTGAATGCAATGAGCCTGAAGGGCTTAGTGTCGCTTTGATCTTTTCCAAATTTTAAGCTAAAAACATTGAAACACAACCTTAATGTACTTTAGGGGAATTTTCTGTAGTAGACCAACACAAAGGTAGTGAAGAATTATATCAGGAAATTAGTTTTTCAATTAAACAACTGTACATCTAAAAGGACAGATTTTAATCAGTTTGCATTGTAGCTCAGGCTTCATTAGATTGGATGAAGAGAGTCTGATAGATATTTTTATTTTATGCTTTTGATGTAGATTTTCTAATGACAGTGGGCTGTTCGAACATGGTTTTCTGAAAGAATAGAAATGAACTTTACTGTTATTACACTGTCACAAGTACAAAGGAATGAAATGAACTCTGCATTTATCCCTTTGGGGAGCAATGGGCTGCTAATCTCAAATCGCAGCTGTCCGCTGTGATCTTCGGTCTAAAGGAAACCTTTTTACTTTTATATAGAACATTAACATGATGAAACTGTCTGATTTAATAACACACAATGGGGCCACATTTACTAATGACTTGACTTGTATTTGTGCTGGAATTTATTTAGGGGAATCGGAGTAAAGGAGGGGGGTGAATATAAATGCATGGTGCTTCATTCAGATTTATATTTGTAAAACTTTTGAAACCATGTATGACTTTTCTTTTTTACTTCCACTTCACAGCTGAACTCCACCTTGTGTTGGTCTGTCACACAAAATCCATCCAAGAAATGCTTAAAATTTGAGGCAAAATGTGGAAAAGTTGATATATTTGGGGGGGGGCTCATGACATTTGTTCAGAAACCAGGGATTTCTTATCGTCTTCCAGGCATTTCTGCTCTTCCTCTTGCTCTCGTCCTGCAGCTTCTCTTGCTCTCTCGCGTTCCTCCTGCTCGTGCAGGGAGTTCTGCCCCGTGGTTTTGCCGTGCTGCTCCTTCAGGTGGCGTCGTAAGGCAGGCTTGTGGGCGAAGCGGGCGTGGCAGTAGGCGCAGCGGTGTGGCCTCTCTCCGCTGTGGAGGTTCATGTGATCTATCAGCGTCGACTTCTGGGTGAACGTCTTGTAGCACAGGGGGCACTGGTGGGCTTTGGCGGCTCCCCGGTGCACGGCCATGTGTCGGGTGAGGTTGGTGGAGTGGTGGAAGTGTTTCCCGCAGCAGGGGCAGACGTACAGCAGGTGGGTGGAGCGGGAGTGGATGGCCAGGGAGTGAGCTGAGGGAAAAGTCAGGCCACAGTGCTCGCAAATTACAGGCCCAGTGACGCTGGAAGTGGAGCCCACCACAGCGACAGACTCATCCCCGCCCTCGTTTGTTCCCACAGCGTTCAACCCTGAACTCCCCTCACCAGCGCCAGACTCCTCCAGGGAGAACTGATTCATAGGGGAAACCTTTTCCCCATGGATACTGTTCAAACTGAAGTCAAACCGGGGAATATCAATTAAATAACTTCCTGCAGTCTTCAGCTCCTCTTGGCTAAAGTCCAGGCCGAACCCTCCTCCCAGTCCAGCAGTTGCGGCGTACCACAGATCCGGACGATGAGCTATATTTGGTGACCTCCTCTCGTGGGATGATGCCCACTTTCGCTTTTTTAACCCCCTTCCTCTGCCTCTCCCTCTGCCGCGCCCAATTTTGGGCTCGGACAGCTTCCGTCTGAAAGCGCTGATGCCTCTGAAACTCAGATCCTCCGCAGAGTCCAGGTCGCACTCGCTCCCGTCTCCTGCAATGAAAATCCTGTCCGTCTCTGGATAACGCAGATCCTGAGGAGCGTCCACAAAATCTGCTTTCTCCGCCTCCCCGTCTCTGTTCATCAGCTCATCCTCTGGGATGTAAACTCTGAACACATTGTAGTCCTCCGGCTTGCTCTCTTCCTCCTCGCCCAGCATGTTTACCTGAAAAAAAAAAGAAGAAAAATAATACAATTACAAATATGTTGTATGTTTTTGTTTTTTTACTTTTTCCTGCTGTGTCTTAGATTTCATTCTGGGATGTTTGTAATCCTCTCAATGAGTCAGAGATGTACTATAGGTCAAGATTCTATAGGCTGGCTCCTCCTTGGAAGGTTCACCACTGTTTTATGATCTCTCCATTAGTGAATAATGTGTCTAACTGGGCTTTGGTCAAACCCAGAACCTTGAGAGAGAATTAATAACTCATTCTATATGCCAGTTGCTTTGTTTCCCCATCAGCTGTTGAATTTCCTTTAATCATTGCTTGATGTGTTGCCTCTTATATGAAAAGTCAACAGATTAAAAAAACGTGTGACTATTACGCTGTTTGTTTGTTGTCAGCATGTACTGTTAATTTTTCATATGTTGATTATGCGTTGATTTCATTTATTTATGACCCAATCTGCTATCAGCCCAGCTTCAGCTACCTGTGTTACTTTTTACAATTCAACAGACTATGAAGGGTTTCTGTGTCTATTTCCTCTTTGCTTTTCCGTTTTTTCCATGAGGATAACTTGAATTGTTTTGCTCCGTCACTCCCTATTTATTTATTTTTTCTTAGTCTTTAGTATAATATGGCTAAATTAGAGCAGTGGTACTCACTAAATGCTGGTTTACAGACTGTAGAAATCGGTATTGGACAACAGTAAACTCTCACTCTTCAAAATTATTTTTAATTACAGATTTGTTCTGTAAGGGGCATGCTAGACCCTCCCGCAATCCTAATCCGAGTCCTACTCCCTAAGCATAATTTGGGGTGGATTTAGTCTTAACTTATAGGTCTGGGTATGCAATAAAGTTATTAAAGCAAATGTTGCCGTTTTCTTAAAGAGAGATATAACTCCAGATCATCAAAGCATCAAATCAAAGGCCTGCAGGCCAAATCCAGCCCACCACTGCGATTTATCCATCTCTCAACTGTAAAAAATGAAATATGAGTCTATTTTCTTCCCTTTTTTGAGCAGTTAACATAATTTGGAAAAGGAATAATATGATTTATGTTAAAGTGCAAAGCATCCCCATTACATGGGTCTGTATCCTACACCTATTTTAAACAATTAAGGCTTCTATTAATTCTAGAATGCACAAATGCAAATGTTAATTTTTTTTTATTTCAAGTAAAAAAAAAAACAAAGGCCATTGTTTGGTTAAAATGTCTAAACTTCCTTTGATATGTTGTTTTTTTTGGCAAGAGAGTAAACAAGCAAAGAACAGAATCAATCTGGATAAAAATAATGTGTAGATTTAGTTGAAAACTGTAATGTAAAAATGATTTCTGTAATTAGGGCTCCTTACAAAAAGAAATCAAAAAGAGCTTTATTACATGTTGAAATGTGGAAGGCAAACACATGAAACAATTACAGGTAGGCAGCATGTCAGAAGTCATGCGTTTTTGAAACCAGTGGATTCCCAGAATCTTGAGGTTATTGTGTTTCCTACTTCATGTAGTCAAAC